AGTCCCACTCAACCTCGAACCTAGAAAACAATAGGCAAAAGTGAACAGGCTTCACTTTCAACCCAACAGGGTAAACAGCAAACAATACAGTTCAGAAAACCAATCAATACATCAACAAATGAAATACAGCAAAAGAAACAGCATCAGCAGCTCTGAATCAACAACTGGCTTCAAGCAATCTCCAATCAGCTACAGGCTTCAACAAGCATCAATCTCCATCTTCATGGCCTTCAGACAGGGCTTTGATCATCAGTCTTCCATCTGCAATGGCTTTTCTTCAAGCTCAAACCTCCAGGATGAGGGATCAGTCACAAGAGTGAATTGGGTGTTAAGCAATCAGCTGACTACCAAAGGTGGCGAACAGACTGCTTCTAACACGAGAGACATTTTCTCTCAAGAGTTCTATCTCATAGACACTATCACCAAGCCTTCCAAAGGAAGGGGGTGAGTGTCTTAGAGAGACTCTGAATCACAGAGAAGAATGGATGCAGACAAGGCAATCCATGTTTGAGAAACAATCTTTCTAATCTAGAGCTCTGCCTAGCTCCTAAACTCTAGTCTCCTCAGCAACTGATAGCAAGAAACTCCTCCTCAACTCTGACAGTTGATCTTCAATCTTTGAATCTCCAATAGCTTCATCTTCACAAATCTTCAGCTTCCCCAGGGCCCCAGACAGACCCAATACCCATACAAACAATCAATAAACCCCAGAGGACACACCACACCAGACAACAGATATACAGACAGTAATAATAGCAGTAGGGGAATCCTAACTTTTTCTAAGGGATCTAATAGCTACCCATAGCCCATATAGTCCCATAACTAATCTATTTAAATCCTAAGTCCTAAGGGGAATGAAATCAAACTCCTAAGTTGTCACCTAAAAAACCCTAGTTTTGTTCATGATATTCAAGCATTTATTAATCACCTAAAATTAACCTCTAAAAATGGGAACTAAAATATTTCTATAAGCCTAATATCTCATCTAAACAATATGAAAAGAATGACCAAAAAATATCAAAGCATGTGAGAGAACAAAAATCATAAAAATAATGCATGAAATGAATCTATTTAATATGACATTTATTTAGAAAATATGAAAAACAATATGAAATAAAACTAAAAATGAAATTTTATTTTCCTATAATATTCTAGACATTTTAATGAAAATATGGTAAAAAGAATGGATTAAAATGCATTTTTTATGAATTATTTATGAATTAATGAAATTGGTAAAATATTAAAATGAAATAAGAAAATTAAAATTGAATTAAATGAGGGAGAGGGGTGCATTTAGAAACTCGCCCCAGTTGATATCTGGATGGGCTTTCACAATGGGGGTGCAGATAGCGCCTTCTTCAAGGCCCAACAACAATCAGAATTAGTGAAACAAATAAAACACGCTGGGGGGTGAGAAAAGAAAAGGAATTACGCTGAAATTGGTTTGGGCTTGGTTTAGGGGGGTGGGATTAGCATGATCCAACTCAGGCCCGCCCGTTTCAATTAATGAAACGGTGCGTTTTGGCCAGGGTCCTTCCCTCCAATTTCAGATCAAACGCTGGCCATTGGATCTTACCCTAAGTCAAAAGTCCAAACCATAATGAACGGCCAGGATTATCTCTTCTTCCTCCATTCAACCTGAACCTAGGGTTTCTGCCATGCGAGCTCATGCACGAGCTACATTCCACCTCTCTGTTCTCCATCTCCAAGCCACGAATCAACATGCCATGAACATGAAATTTACTCAGGACCTCCCCCTCTACAATCCTAGGGCATCAATTCATCTTGAAACTCACCACAACACCAAATCCGATCGAAGCAACATCTGGCCACCATTGAAATGCACTGATATGAACCTTCACCATTCTTCCTCAAACTTGCCCTAAACTAATCTACACATAATGGAGGTTAATCTGATGAATCAAACTAACATTCTAACGCCTTAATCCAAGAGATTCGAACACTAACAGTTTGTTGCACCTGTCACTAACCATCACCAATCCTTTCCAAATTCATCTAACTTAATCTCCTAACCACCTAGATCAAGTCTACACTAATAAAATCATGTGAAACCAACAGAATCAAGCTAATCGAATGAAAACTTACCTGATGAGAAACCTTGAAAACAGCTATGGAAATGGAAGATGTGAAGCTTTTGAGACTTGGATCTTGATTCACCAATTCAATACTCAATTCTGTATGCACAATTTTGGAGGTTCCTTGCTTGAATCATGCAATTCACTTGAACTTGTGATTTTGATGTTGATGAAAGAAGCACTCGAAAATGGATGAGAACTACCAAAACCTTGCTTCAATCATGATCTAAGATGATGATGGAGTAGAATTGAATTGATCTTGATGAAGATTGATGAAGAATTTGAGAGATTTGGAATGAAACTTTTATGAAAAAAGTGTGAGAAATTTGTGGAATTCTTGGTGCAAATGAGGCCAACCCTTGCCAAATTCATCTTTCATGAATATATAGACCCCAATGGTACATTCTAGATCCATCTTGCACATTCCCTTGTTTTCAAACTTTGGCTCATTTTGATTATGTTTCTTAAAAGGTAAGCAACCATGGATAACTTCATTTTTTCCTTCTAAACTCAAAAAAGTGTGTGAACCATTGTTCTTAGAATTGTTTTTCCATTCAAAATCATATATTGGAAGTCTCCATTTGGACTTGTAAATCTCCCAAACCATTTTTCACTTTGAAATTATTCACTTTATAAGCCTTTTTAGTTCATATTTTGACCAATCATGCAACTCCATGCTATGAGCTTCTCCAATAACTTGTGACCTTCTTTCTAGACTTAAAATCCCATTTGGAGCAAGTTTGATGTTGTAAGTTTTTCCATTTGAGGCCTCCTTGTATGAGTTTTGGGTATAGGTTAAAATGACCTGTAATTCACAAATGCCCAAAATACCCTTTGCTTGTCAAGACCATAAGTTGAGTTCTCCACATCATATGAAGGCATACTATACCATTCTAGAAAGCTAAGACAATGAGGAACAATTCTTATGTTGACCAAGAATTCATTTGAAATCTCCTTGAGGGGCAAAACTAGCTTGGAAGTCAAGTCACTTTCACAGACAAAAATTCAGACACCTCAGATGACCTGTAACTTGTAAGGACCATAACTTGAGTTCCATAAATCTCCTTGAGGTCTTCCACCACTCAAATTAAAGGTATTGAGATCCTCTACAAGTTTCATGTTGGCCAAGAAGCCATTTGAATCTAGCATTTTGACTTATCTTGCTTGGAAATTTGACCTAAACTAGGGGATTTTACAGAGAAACCCTAATTTAGTAACTCCTCTTCTCCTTGATTTCTCTTGAATTCTCCTTGTCATATCTCCATATCCTTCTTTATATGCCCAATGATGAACCCCACATCTCTCCAATAGCCTTGAATGCCCTTTAAAGTCAGTCAATTGACCTAGGGTTGACCTAGGGTTGACCCAGATGAAACCCTAGTTGATTGTCTTCAACTGTAGCTCTTGTGCCTTCATCAATGACTTGTTTTCTTCTCCAAATGACTTTATAAGTCTCTCAAGATGTCTAGATGCTCTCCATGCTTTCACTTCACAGTTCACAACCCTCTTGTTGATCCTCAGATACCCTCAGCTAGGAGATGGACTCAAGGCTTGATCTGCTGAACTCTTTGCTTTCAAATTCTTTCCTGATGACTTGAATATGACTGAATTGAGATAATAACCTCTTGATAGGCCTCTAGAGATGAAAATAATGATTGGTCCCCTGTTGAATGACTTGCTATGCTTATGCTATGCAGATGGTTAGTCTATGTACATGACTCTATATGCAAATGCTAATGATAATGAAACATAAATCCAAGGAGTAAGGTTGGGCAAATTTTAGGGTGCAACAGTCCCTCTTCACGATTCCTCTCTATATTCCTTCTTTGACGCCTAGGCCTTCTAGAGCTCGAGGCTCCTTCTTCCATAAACAACCTCACAAGTTCTTCATCCATGTCATCATTCATATAATCCATAAACATTTTTGCAATGTGGGAAGGATTGGAAGGATCCATGTGAAAAGAAGTTTGATATTTAGTAGAAGATGATAACAAATTGTAAAAAATGCAAGATGTTAATACTATTTATAAGACTACTTTGAATAACGACTAGTTTGAATAACGGCTAGTTGGACTTTGAATAACGGCTAGTTTGACTTTGAATAACGGCTAGTTTGAATAACGGCTAATTTGATTTTGAATACGTAATCATACTAATTAAGTCCATATTAATTAATTCCAAAATACATAATCTTACTAATTAATCCCAAAATACATAATCTTACTAATTAGGCCTAAAATACATAATCTTACTAATTAATCCCAAAATACATAATCTTACTAATTAAGCCTAAAATACATAATCTTACTAATTAATCCCAAAATACATAATCTTACTAATTAAGCCTAAAATACATAATCTTACTAATTAATCCCAAAATACATAATCTTACTAATTAAGCCTAAAATACATAATCTTACTAATTAAGTCCATATTTTTCTCTAATCATGTCGCACAACATATCATGAGCTTGTAGTTGTCTTGTATCCATATTTGATGTATCTTTTGAGAGTATTTGCAGATCATTCATCTTCAATCTCTCCTCAGCATTCCCAGCCTTCTTAATCTTTGCATCAACCTTTTTTCTCTCTATCTCAACTTTTTCACCCTCAATGCGTGCATAGTCCCGTGCAAACATTGACATCAGATCAAATTTTTTTTTAAAGTCATCTTTCAAAGAATCATATTTGACATTGGGAGTAGAAGACATTTCCATAAGCTTTTCTTTCTCCTTCCTTTTGGCTGCCTTTTGACCGATTGGACGGCGAGACAAAGTAGGTGATGATGGATCGTGTTCTCTGCTCATTTGTGGATTAGAAGATGAAGAATATGCTCCTGAAGCTGAATTCTTTGTTGTTTTTGTAGAAGCTTCTGATGAACCTGCGAGCCATTTAGGTTCATCTTTCAATAATCTCCATGCAGCTTCAAAAGTAAACTTTTCACCTTCATCTTGAAATAGATTTTATATGCAGCTTGCATGATATTGCTCTCGGAACTCCCACTTTGTTGTGTAGACACAGCTTGTTTGTAGCATCCAACAAACTTTTGAACAGATGGATTGATTTTATGCAATCGACATTTTAGTTGCGTCGGTTTCCTCTCTTTGTAGTTAATGTCACGATGCTTGTTGTAAGCTTCACCGATCCGCTTCCAAAAACTATCTCCTTTTTTATCAACCCCAACAATTGAATCTTTTGAAACATTGAGCCATGATTGAATGAGAATTTCATCCTCTTTTTGTTGGAACCTTTGTTTATGCGTATTCACAACACGTGCAGATGCAACTTCTTCACCAAGGTTAACTGTTTCTAAGCTACCTTGAGTGCAAAATTGTGGTGTTTCATCTTCTTAATCATTTGGTTGCGCATCACTACTACCTATTTGAGCCCCATGAGGCATAATGGGGTTAGTTGATTGAGATGTAAATTGTTGATATTGATATGGATAAGGTGGTGGATGATATGAGTAATTTCCAAAGTGTGGATTATTTTGTGGATTTAGGATAAAAGGTGAGTTTTGAAAATTTGGATTATGGTGTGGATTTGAGATAAAAGGTGTATTTCTAAAATATGGATTACTTTGTTGATTTGGAATAGAAGGAGGACTACCACTATTTTGCATAAAATTAGACCAAGGGTTATGTTGATTGGGATCCATTGACAGATAAATGTGTAGAAGAAAAAATTTAAGATGAGATAAATTCAATAGTTCAAAGTTGTAAATGAAAATTGTAGTAAAATTAATAACCTATTTATAAGAATGAAAAATATTACCGTTAGTTTATTAATAAATTAAAATATAAATAATATAGTGATTAATTTATATATAATATAGTGATTAATTTAAAATATTAATAAATTAATAACCTATTTATGAGATAAATATTGCCATTATTTACTAAAATATAAATAATATAGTGATTAATTTATAGCCGTTACAATTTAATATTAAATTATTTACTAAAATATTACTGCTGAATTATTTAAACTATTAAATTATTAAATTATTTACTAAAATATTACCGTTGAATTATTTAAATGATTAAATTATTAAATTATTTACTAAAATATTACCGTTACAAAGTATTTCAATTTAATATTAAAATATTTTAATTTAATATTGGCATGCAAATATACCGTTGAATTATTCCAAAACAAAATATTACCGTTACATTTATTATTCTTGTCCAACATTTATTATTATTGTTCAACATTTATTATTTTTGTCCAGCATGGCACTTGTAGAACCGTTACTAAACCAGCCAACGTTGGCATATGTAGAACTTTATTATTTTACCAAATATCCATTATTGCTGACATAGAACACTTTGTAAAGTGTGTAGAACCATAAAAATTGGACTGATATTTATGCTCTTATATGTCTACTACTGCATGCGCAGATGTTATTATATTTTTTTTCAAATTGGACCCAAAAAAGCAAATTGGTTTTATGTTGTACGACGCACCCACTTGAAATTTTTTAGAACCTTTTTTGATAGAAATTTGTTGTGATGCTTTTTTGTAATGGACTTTGCTAGAAACTTGAATTGAATATGAGCTTTAATTATTAATTAGAAAGATTTTAATTTTTGATTCTTTGAATCATGGGCTTTTATGTAAACTTGAATTGGACTCAAGAATTTTTTGGAATGGATTGAATCTTTTTATAAATTTTAATGAATTTGGAAATTGAAAGTGTACAACCTTAATTGAGAATGAATTTGAAGAGTGACTTGGATTGAGATTGAGAATGAAATTAAAATTTTGAAATCGATTTTGTATTTGAGTTTTTGCAAATTAGACATGAAAGTTATAACTTGAAAGAAATTTGAAACTTGATTATGAATTGAAATATGAAATTCGATACTTGAAATGAGATCGAAAGGGATCCATGATTTTGGACATGGTTTAGAAATTAGGATGCAACATGAACTTAATCACTTGAGAAGAATTTAAATGACCTTGAATTTGAATTGATTTGAAGTTGAAATTTGGAATAAAATTTAAACCTTAAAATGAAATATGGACTTGAAACTTGAATTAGAAATTTAAAATACTTGAATTTGAAGCAATTAACTTAAGATTCTTGACTTATAAATGAGATGGAAACTTGAATGGTTCTGACTAAGAATTGAATATAGAATTTGGAGTGGAGATGAATTGGAAACTTGGAATAAATTTGAGATATGATTATGAACTTGGAACTTGGATGAAATCTTTGACATGGAATTTGGATCTTCGATCCTAGACTGAAATTTGGAATTTTGGCATGAATTCAATTTTGAACTTGGAATGAGGTGGAATAGATACTCTGAATTTTTGAACGGAATTTGAACATGGTTACAACTCTTAAATCTTGATTAGAGATTTGGACTTGATTCTAAATCCAGGAATTTGGAAATTTAGAATGAAATTATGAATTGGCATGACATCTGAAGCCTTGAAACGCTTCCATAAGAAACTAACACCTCATCTCGATTCTATTTTGAACTAGTCTTAAATAGTGGCGAAAGCTTGAATTTCCCTCACTTCACTAGGTAACTTGAACTTGATCAGAACTCTGATTTGGATTCTCAGACATAAAGTCCCTGAACTCAATCCACACTCTTCCAAAATAGCCACTGACACAGATGACTCGATATATGAACTCTGTTACTACTGCGCCAAAACCCTACTTGAAAAGCGAACCTGATGATTATCCATCTTACAATAAACTGCCCTTGCCACAGCCTGATAAATTGATACTAAAACAAACCAACTCCTTGACCAAGATTAGGTCAAACTCCATTAAATTTCAAACCACGCCACAGACACAGTTGGCCTGAAATAGTATTGTCCATAAATTGAACCTGTTAGTCTCAAATGAAAATCAATTGAACGATACTTGCTCATTTTAGACACAAAAGCTATAAAAAACCTAATCTTTGTCTTGAGTGCACACTGATGAGACAATGACTTACTGAGAACCTAAAACACTGATTCAGAATATTTGTCACATGTTGATAACCTAGTACTGAAGCGAAACATTTATTAGTTCAAACATCCGTTGAATATCAACCAAGATTGTACACACATTTGACTTGATAACTTTGCCTGCTTCCTGATTCAATCTTGCAAAACCTGAGCTTTAGGCAACAAGCAAAAGACACATATTTCAAAGGCATACTGGTTAGATGACCTGAATAATGGATATGATACTCAAATGATGAAAATGCTATGATATGTACAGTCGGCAATTCAGGGTCAAAATTAGGGTGTAATAGTAATTATAGATTTTTTTACTATTGGTCTTTGCGGGATCGATATCTTTTAAAACTACACATAGTTTATGCACTTGCAGTTAGTTGGTTTACACCCGATCAAGTTTTTAGCGTCGTTGCCGAGGACCAATTACGTCAAAACATCGTAAACTATTTGTCGCTCTGTTTAGATTAAGGCATTTTAGATGGATCACTCAGATCTTTCTCTCAATCACCAATTTAAACAGTTCAAGGCCCCATAATATTCCTATAAATGAAACCTTGAAATATTGGTGGAAAACTTTGTTAGTTCACAAGCTCTCTCTAGGTTGGAATCCATGGTGCGAAGGTTTGTAGCAACTCAAACTTCCTATAATAGGGAATTTAAAAACCATGATCTTCTTGCTAATGGAACCCTTAAGTGCCTAAACAATAATATCCATTCCTTAGTACTTAGTAATGAGGAATTAGGGACAAAAATAACATCGCTTACACAAATACCTATTGGCACAACAACCAATAAGGTTGACCCCGTAGGAAAGCATAAAGAAATTGATAAATTGATCAAGGAGAGTCATAATAAAGAAAATAATAGAAACTTTTTCCTACTAAATACATTAAAACCTAAATCAAAAGGCAATGCTACTACAACTAAAATAGGAAAACCAATGAATCATACAACTAGGGAAGAAATTAATGCCAAACTGGAAGTTTCAACACCAAAGAATGAGCTAGATATAATCCCGCCTTACTTAAGATATGAAACGCTCTATAATGGAAAGAAAAGAAAGTGGGAAGGATATGAGAGATAGCTCGATAAATAGCCTTGGAAACAGCCCGACGATTGGACCTTCCCTCTATAATTTTACTCTAATAAGTCGAGCTACTGACATTAAACAAAACCCTGCTCGGGAGGAAACCCATAATTATGTCTTTTTTATTAATTTTGTTTTTTATTTAAAAGGTGAATTATCTCTTCTAACAAGGTTAACTTATTTGATTTCGAATGTTTGAGGGCTCAGCATTCTACATAGCTTATTCTAACTATATTTTTAGAATGCAGAATGTTGATGACATGGAGATCAGGTTCAGAGATGATGACCAGAGAAGATGTTACGTAGTCCTATCTGAAAGACCCAAGCTACCCACCAGATATCCTGACACAACCTGCATGACATCCCTAGGAATAGAAAGAATTGTCAGCTATATGGTTAGTTGAATCAATTGGGAGGAATTTTCAAAGTTTAAGCATGAGACTTAGAAAACTCACCCTTTAATTATTCAGTTCACTTATCTACAATCCCCATCAAGGACATTGGCTCCATCACGGCCGCATATCCTTTAGGTTGTTTGGGCAAGAGTATGATCTAACCCACTGAGGATTCAGAAGCCTTTTAGAATTTCAAACTGGTCCAAATGCCCATCCTAAAATCCTACTCTATTTTTACCAATATGATACTTTGGAAAACTTTTGGAAGGAAATCACCCATAATGAAGACCCCAACCCAGCCACCCAGTTTTCAAACAAGATCCATAACCCAGCGCTTAGGTACTTCAAAATGATTATATCCCAGACATTCTTTGGTAAGAGTGAAGCTTGTGCGCCAGTAAATACGAAGGAGCTGTTCATTCTTTACTGCATCACCGAAGATGATTCTGCTGTATCTGGTACCTTCCTCATTCAAAACCTAGCAGGTTTAGCCCAGTCTTCAGTAGGACCTATTCATGTAGGGGGTAGTCACCCACATATCCTATGCACTTCAGTTATAAATGAGTTGTCCCACCTAATTCCTTACTGTGGTTATGCACTTCTGGACACGGACCACTGACTTAAAAAAGGTTTGGTACGTAGAACATACTTTTGGATGAATGAATATAAACTTCTCATTAATAATGAAGTCATCCACCATTTATACCTGCCTAACCCAGAAAGAACTAATATCTAAAATAGGGAGAATTGGACTTATGCTTTAGTGGCGAAAGACGAGACACCTTTTAGACCTGCTACACCTCCTACACCAGAGTATCACCCATTGCATGTACCTTCTTCCGATAGGACTGTTGTGATTTCTTCTTCTGGGCCCAGTAGGAAACGAGGCAGAAATGACGAGCTAACTTTATTGCACCAGGAAATTGTTACACTCCAAAGGAAAATCAGCGGTTTGAGGCAAAGGGCAGAGATAGATAGTGCCATTTATACTAAGACAAAGGACCATCTCTCTCAGGAAATTCTTGGTCTTTGATGCCAGCTCTCAGAGGCTCATGCATCCCGTCCACGATAGCTTCCAAATCGTACTTATCACTCCACTTAGTGTCCTATAAGATTTATTTCACCATTATTATTTTCTTATTATTTTTTATTGATTTATTTTTTTCTACTGAAACTTTTCCTTACAGTTTCAAATTTTTTGAGATTTAT